AAATTAACTGATTTTATAAGACAAATTAAAGGAGAGCAAATTACTAAAAGATCATGAATTATGGGGTTATAGAAAAAGACATTCGAAAATACAGACCCAAAATAGGAATCAGATTTGTTTACTCATATTTTAAAGACGAGTGACCAAAACATAACTAAAATATAACATTAAATATGATTTAAAATAAATAATAATTTAGTGACCAAATCTGAAATTAAATAATAAATTGGTGACTGAATAAATAATTTACCCTTTTTGAACATAAGGTGATGTCTAAACCGACACCCATGTCTTGATGCTCAATCAGATCTTGATAAATGAAAGATAGGCAAAGTTTCATCCTTTCATAATCTGCCAGCACTTAGGTCGCCAGTGAAGTACCATCCACCATTACCAACTCAGTTCCTATGAGTTGAGCTAAGGACTCGAGGCAATGTCCGCACTTTCTTGGAAAATTTAAAGGTGTTGGTTTATTCAACTTATTAGATATCAACTCAAATTTTAATTAAAAATGAAATTAAATTTTATTATTATTGTACTGATTGAAATTTTTTTAATGATTAATTTTATTTAATTAAGAATTCTTATAAAATGAAAATTCTTGATAATTGATTATTTGATTTTATAAATATAAACAGAAAACGTATCTTAATTTTTAGAATAAACTCAATAGTTAAATAGATTATTATTATTCTTGGATGTCCCACGTTCAAAAAGAAAGATGAGAGGATTATTTAGGACAATCATTATTTACTTTCTCATGAGATAATTAAGTTGAGACGAACAATGGAACCTTTGTTTGAAGTGTAAAAAGAATTAAGGTAAATTATGTATTTAGTAATTTAATTGTTCGCATGGTTTTATTTTGACCACTTAATTATTATTTTTTTTTAAATCATATATAATATTAATTTTTTGGTTTTATTTTCGTCAGCTACTATTAAAAAATTAACAAAACTAACGGCATGATATTTAAAAAAAGTCAATGATGATATGAAATTACATTACAGTGAAACGTTAACATCATCGTTATTTGTTTAACATGTGACCAAAATCTAACATTATGTATGATCTTGAAAGACTAGTTATATATAATCTAACAAATAATTAAGTAACTAAATATGTAATTCATCAAAAGAATAATTAATTTTATACATGTGTTACTCCCTATGACAATGTCTAAGACTATATCTAGACTTCGATTGGATTATGTATTGCATTTGGATTAGATTGATATGTCTGAATTATGTATTTTATTTAGTTGCATTTTGCATTTGATTTAGTTGGAAATTATTCTAGGATTAGGTTTGTACCAAGTGTAAAAAGAACAATTCAGAATAAAAATAAATTAACACTATTAAATAAAAATATATAATTAATAATAAGACCGAAAACCATTTTTCATATTATTACTATATATTTAAGCATGCAATCGGATTTTCATCAATGACTATTTACTGACGGTAATTACTGTACCTGTATTTTCAGAGTTAAAATTGAGATTTCATTAAGATCCTTCACCGGTAGTCATTGTTGTCACTAAATGTTCAGGAATATAATTGGAATTTCACAATAAACAATCAAAAAGCATTGCTGTAAGCTTAGATGAATTTACTTATACCGACGGATCTAAACGCCGCTACACCAAACAGACGAAAATGTTAGTGGTATATGTACAAGTATGTGTTACTGCTCCAAATAGTAACTGTACCCACAGTTTAAGCTATCTTCATTTCATTCAATTTTTTTCATAATCGTGAGTAAATGTGAATATCCATACCACAAAAAAATTGAGGAATTGTTATTATTCTTTGAGGATTTGGATTCTAGTATTCTTATTGGATTCGAGCATCGAGAATTTCAAAAGTATGAAAGTTTAATGTCAAAATTAAAAGTTACGTTTAAACAATTGATAACCATGTTTAACCTGGCATAGAACCAAAGAACATTAGAAACCAAAGAATTCCAACCTGTATGCAGTTAACGGGGGACCAAGGGTTGCTAAACATAAGCATCAGTTGCTACACCTTCAATCTTGTCTCTATTAAGGGACCAAGGGTTGATCAAGCCAACAGGGGTCATGCTTAAAGACCTTGACTCAAATGGCAAAGAAAGAACCTCAGATGCCAATCTTCTCACACCCACTGCACGAAGCCGAGGTTGTTGAAGCACATCCAAAGCCAATGCACCGAGATCCACCAGGTTCCTGAATGACTGCGGTGAGAATAAATCTATCAGCTTTTCAGCATCCTCTTTCATATGAACACCAACAAATATCATGTACCTGTTTATCTAAGAACTGTTTAATGTAGAAACGACCACCGGTTTGAAGTGTTATTAGTACGCAAACAACCCGAGTGCAGATTACTGGCAACGGATTATCTTCATAAGATCCAACCCATATTATATCTAAACCAACAACCATGTCTTGATGCTTAATCATATTTTGATAAATGGAAGAAAGGCAACGCTCCGTCCTTTCAGAATCTGTCAGCACTTCAGTCACCAAAGCAGCACCATCCACCATTAAGAACGTATCTCCCAAAAGTTTATTCTCTGAGGCCATTCTTGAAATGAAAGACTCGTAATGACCGAATAATGTCCTCACCTATTTATATAGAGTTTTTAAAACTTGGGTATCGGATCAAATCTCCTCTTGAAACTCTCATTTGTAGTTGATTGCACTGCTTGGAAGATGTGGGTTCATTGAACCTTTGGTAGGGCTTGGAATTTGAATTTAACTGTTGAGATGTGATTAATGCAATTTATGACATTGTATGTGAACAGACGAATCTATCTGATTAAATAGTCCATTTATCAGCCATAAAATTAATGATTAATGGAGTAGTAATTACTCACAATTTCCGAGACTCAAGCTCCCAATAACTTGATGGAAATCTTGTGCGCAGCATAAGCATCGATTGATGAACAATCAACCAGGTGTACCGGGACATTTAATAGATATCATCATACACAAGGGTATAGCCTTAAATGGCACGAAAGAACTTCATGATCCAATCCACTCATACACAAGAAATTGTAATTTTGTTCAACTTGATAAATTAAAGGGTAAATTACACAAATGGTCCCTGATTATAGGATGATATTTTGTTGAGTTCATTGACTATTAAAAATTATAAAATGATCTCTAATTATAAGTTGTTGCTTTGTTGAGTCCATCGACTATTAAAAGTTATAAAATGGTCACTCAACTATTTATATGTTTCAATTTGTTAAAAAAATTGATGACAGACTAAACTGAAAGTTAACTTGTTGATTGAGAAATGATTGTCATTTGAGATTTTAAGATCAAATTTTATTATATCATAGTCAGGAAGTGAACGTCCAGCTCAAACTGCCATTAATTTTTTAACAGAAAAATAACAAGTGTAGAATGTATAAATAGCCGAGTGAATATTTTATAATTTTTAATAATTAAGAAAATCAACAAAGCAATACCCTATAATTAAAAGATCATTTTATAATTTTTAATAATCGAGAAGCTCAACAAAATAACGCGATACCATTTGTATACTTTACCCTAAACTAAAATATGCGATTATAATGATATTTGTAATTTTGAAAGATAATCAGACAATATGACCCTAGTGCATAAGGTATTATGACAGTTGCCAAGTGTTATTATTCTCCAAAGAATCCTGATAACGTTATTCATAATTGAGGAATTACTTTTGATGGAAACCAAAACTGATATCCTTATCTTATATATCATATAAAGATAATTTCCGTTTCAGATAGATAGCTAATTGTGCATGTGTATTTTACTCCTCAGATGCTACTGATTCCCCCCCCCCACCCCGCCCCATTCACCCAAATATCAAGTCCAACATCTTCTCGATTCAAATCCCGTTCTCGATTCAAATCTCAAGCCGATAATCGCATAATTCGGTATGGCAAGGATGATGATTCATAACAATGAAACCATTTCAATATTAGCCGGATCATATGGATAAACTGTTCCTGGTCTGTTTAACATTGGTCTGTTTAACATCCGTGATTTTGTACATAAAAAGTAACTTCTTTGACAAGAAACCATTAACCAATGGCTTTGCTGAAACCTGTTTTATGACAGACTATGGGTATTTTCAAGGTAGATGAAAAGATGGGCATCTATAGCTTCAGTGTAGTTCTGTTAGAGCTTTTATCTGGGGAATGCCATTAGATCCTTCTTTCGGAGAATCGGTCGATATAGTCGAGTGGACTCAACAAAAGTAAAGAAAAGCATAGGGTTGGAAGAAGTTCTAGATTCGGCCATGGCAGGCCAATGCAAGCATGTCCAAGAAGAGATGCAACTTGTCCTAAAGGATTGCATAAACTAGTACTTATATGTAAATGTATTACATGATATGTATATATAAGTAATCTAAGGTTGGAACCTTTGATACTCATCCTCTACTATGCAAGTAAAATCTAAAGTTAGAAATGATCCGGAATTAAATATATTTATACTTCATTGAGCACAAAATATTCCACAAACATGCTTCGTTTTGATAAGAATGTTGGGGAAACAATTACCTGAATTATTACCAAGTCCAGTAGAGTTAAAAGAAACAGTCGAGAAGAAAAAATATGACGCCTCTTCCCAATCCGAAGAACGTTACCCATCTATACAACTACTTTGTTTCCTAAGCTCAAAAGATGAAAATCATTCACTTTTCGCCTTTGAGGTAGGAATGCCAGAGCTGGATGTTCTTTTTCTCCTATGCCGCAACATCTAGAAAAGTAGTAGCTCCTGATGCACTCCCTTCATCAAGAAAACTGTTAGACAATGGCTGCAAAATAGTAACGGATAAAAAGAATCGGTGTTTTAGGTAAAGTGTAGATTTTCATAGTTCTCATCAACAGGGATTCCGATGAGAACGTGGCAAGAAGTTTCCATCACAAATTCTAAAATCTTTGTTCGACTATAATTAATCCTTAACGAATAAATGTTTACGGTATACCTCGTTATAATCAACGTGCGATAAGAAAAAATACTCCTCTCGGAGACCCCCATTTTCATTAAATATTCTTTCCAAATCCTGCAAAAAAGGACTAAACAAATTCAATCACAATGGCAGGCCAAACTCTTTAAGATATTCTACACTTCCACTAAAAGAGGTAAAAAAAGCACCAAGCATTAAATATTTAAACATGGTTTCACAATGCAAGTCTAACAGTATTTTGTCAATGCAATACCTTTGCAAGCCAATATAGAAGACAGGGACAGCAGAAGACAACTGATTACTCCCACAGTTTTTTATTATCAGCTAACTGGCTATTCTATGTTTTCCAACCATAACATTGCAACATAGGTCGACAGTGATGGACAAGGTGGGCAATCGCCCCCTAAAAATTTCAAATTCCCATATAGTTAAGATATTTTCTTTGTATTTTCTATTAACAATCTGTTTTCGCACCCCTAAAATTTTATAAGTTTGCCCTCCCATAAAATATTATAAGTTCGTCCCCCTAGCACAAAACCCTGCATTTGTCTCTGTAAGTCTATGACAGTTTCAACAAAGCCTTAATTCAGTTACAACAACACTCTCTTAAAGTTCGAATTTCCTAATATAAGTTTATAAAAAAATGTAAGCGGAAGCCATAAAAGAGAGAAAACAAGTTCAGAAGAATTGTATAATAATTTAATTTAAACAAATTAAGCCTAACAGCTTTACCTTTCCGGTCAGTATTTCAAACTCAAGCAACTCTTCCACAATCTTTTCAAGAACTCGATGATTTTTCTTAAGCATACCCCTTGCCTTTCGTATGCTAAATCGTAAATCTGCAGAAATTACAAGCATTTTTTTATAGAGATTCAACCCAAAAAAAATCATTGCAAAAAATATATTAAATCAACCTCAATTATTAAGAATCATACAATAAAATGCATCTATACCCAAAACTCATCACATACCCTTTCAACTTTAGTAGCCATCTCGAACTCGTGATTGTTTCCCATGCTCAAAGCCGTAATCTAATACCAATGAAGGAAAGTCCAGTATAAACAATCTATTCGGGCAATAAGAACAATTACGTATTACTAAAGCAACAGCATCAGTAATCCCTTATCACATTAATAATGATAAAGAGCACACTTACCTTAAAAAAACAATAATAATAAAGTGCATGCTTAAGTTTTTAAAGGGCCAACATACAGTAAGAATTAACTATATGGACAAAAAACAAAATGTTATCAGAAAGGAAAATAGCCAATGTCTAAGTGTACATCCACAACCTCCGAGTAGTTGCAGCATATATCAATATAACACATTATTCCAGAATTTAAATATGAACCATGCGCAATTGTTTCAATATTTGGATCTATAAGGAAAATAGAGTACCGCATTAGTACTATAGTAGACCGCAGGACTATCATCAGGACCCCATCCATACTGAATCACCATCCTTGTGGCTATCTGTTGCAATTTTCATGGAAGTAACTCAAATGAAAATTGTTTTCTCCTAAGCCTTAACAAGGTTATTATACTCGAACATGTGAAACAGTAAGAATAGGATTATATCAACCTCCTGAGCCTGCTTTAGTTCTGATGCAGAAAGAAAATTTTCTTCTCCAAAAGGTAGAAGCTGTTGGGCTGCAATATGCGACCCAAAGCAGAATACAAGCTTCTTTTCAAGGTAAGACCTTGACTCTGCATTGCCATAAAAAGACCCTTCATTTCTTGCTTTGGTAATCTTCGTACATCCAATTCCCTGAAAGATGGAAAGAGTTAATTAGTTCTCCCATATTCATCCTTCCCCAAGAACAGGTTGAATACTGACATCTTTAGGCCAGCAAAATATGCAAGAATTATAAATTCACATATTGTACATACAAAAGCACTGCAACTTTATAAAATATATATATTTTTTATAAGAATTGGAGGTTTCATTAAAAAAACCCTTCATAATTGCTAAATTCATAAGAATTCGGCAAAAACGAAAGGGGGAAAAGAGTACCTCAGATTTTATTGATAAGGGGATAAAATCTCGAAGTTACAAAGATCACAACAAACCCCAAATAAATCCCTACCCTAGCAAGAAAAGACAGCCTGAGAATTCCTAGAATTACCCTATCCCTTTTTTCTTTTTGCAAGTTCGTCCACTTCCCTATTAGCGTTCCTACTAATCACCCTAACAATTATTTCTTCCCTACTAATCATAGCTACAATCTCCTTAACTATAAACTCATAGGAACTAGGGCACCTCAAAGGGTCCTTTAGCCACTCCACAATATTCCTACAATCACCTTCCAAGATCAGCCGACCCTTAACACCCCAGTTGGACCCAATACAGAGGAGGATACCAGCTTTGACAGCCTTTAATTCAGCCAGTGCTGGTGGACCAGCACCAACAGATTCCGAAAACGATCCAAGAGTATGACCACTAGCATCCCTAACTAGTCCCCTAATACAACCCTTGTTCCAATCCCATTTAACTGCGCCATCAACATTCACCTTCAAGAAACTAGGTGAGGGTATCCAAGATACATGTGACGGCCTAAGGGACTTCCTCAAGGGAGACCAGGAATCTGTTATGGTTGGATCTCCAATCAGTGAATCAATAGGAATCTTAAACTCAGGGAACTTTTCCAAGAACCAAGAAGCCAGACGGAATCTCACTATGAAGAGGAAGGATTGGAAATCTGCAGAGCCATTTTCAAACACTAATAAGTTTCTGAATTTCCAAGTAGACAAGATTACCACTCCCGGAATAAAAGACCAGATGCGAGAGTTGGGCAATAAAGCATCCCTGAACTAAAAAAAGTGATTCCACAAACCCCAAGTTACTCTGCAAGAGATAAACAAATGAGAAATTGATTTTGGAGACAAGGTGCACAAAGGGCAAAGTTGATCCCCAACTCCAGGGACTCCTCTTTTGGATAATTCTAATCTAACTGCCACCCTGTGATGAAAAACACGCCACAAAAATGTTTCTACCCTAGGTGGAGCAAGCCTTCTCCAAACACATTGGCTCCATTGCTGATCTTCCTCATCAAGACTCGTGATCAGGCTCCTACAGGATTTGACAGTATATATCCCTTCTCCATTTCCAGTCCACGATACACTATCTTTAGCTTCCTCACGTGGATTTATTCTAGTTAACACTGACATTAAATTCACTCATTGATCCAGTTCCCAGTCGCACAGGTTCCTTCTCATTTGAACATCTCAACTCCAGCCCGAAGAGCCAAAACTACCAAAATCAATGATTTCACCTCCCTTATTCGTAGATAGGCTAAAAATCCTAGGAAATTGAAACTTCAGGGGGGCATCACAAGCCACACGTCATGCCAAATGAGAGGGCAGATCCATCCCCTACACGGAACTGAACATGATTACGAAAATGGACCCCAAACCTTTCCTCAGTCCCACAATTCTTAACAATGCCCCTCCATATCCATGAGTTAGGTATTTAAAATATTTTTTATTTAATGTCACATGTCAACTTTAGGATTTTTTGTAAAGACGGTTATATATATGATAATATGATATCGTCTTCTTCTGTTGAAAATGTGATATATTATTCATATTTTGGTTCAATGTTTGAGAGAAAATGTGATATTTAGGGGACATTAGCTTACAAAATGATAATATGATATCGTCTTCTTCTGTTGAAGTAATAGAAGTTAGTTAAGAGTTTGTTGATTAGTTTGTTAGCAGCAGTTAGTGTACAATTCTTGTGTGTATATATATATATATATAACTCTTGTATCGTAAGTTTATTTGTATACTTTTTGGATGAAATAAAGTTGAATTATTCTTTAATTCTCATGTTGTTGATTGGGCCTTTTGTTTATCGAGCTTGCACGGGCTCTTTGCATGTTGTTGATTGCAAGACGAGCTGCTCGTCAAACTTTCCCAAATTGCTTGTGGTTAGGGTTCCTCTTGTTCGTCTTCAAAGTTGCGATGCCACCCATGGTTGATTCTACTGTAATCGACTTCAATCATCCTCTTTTTTGCATCCATCAAACACTCTACCTATTCCCTTGATCTCTCATCAACTGTTTGAGTTGGTGAATTATAGCGTCTGGAGTAGATTACTGAGAATCGCGCTCTTGGCGAAGAATAAACTCGCATCCATTGATGGTGAATGACAAAAGGAGAATAACGATCCTGCTTTGCATCCGCAGTGGGAATGATGGAACGCGATCGTTCTGTCTTGGATTCTCAATGCTGTGTGTAAGGAGCTTTCGGCCGGCATCGTTTTTGCTTCAAATGTTGCATTGGTATGAAATGATTTGAAAGAATGCTTTGACAAGGTTAATGGTTCCAGGATTTTTTTTCCCCTTCATCGTGAAATTGCTACCATTTGTCAAGGTGATTCGAGCGTCTCTACTTACTTTACCGAGTTGAAATTATTGTGGGAAAAGTTACACTTGTGCCTTTTTCTTCCTGTGTGTCAGTTTACAACAGAATTCCAGTACTTATCAAGTACTTGAACTGGAATGTTACACTTATGCCATTTATTTATTTTAATTTTTAATAAATTTTCTTTTAATTATGTAAATTTTTTTTAACTTTATTTGTGGATTATATATTATAGATTTTTAAATTTTAGAATTTTTTTAATATTTTTTTAAAAAATAATATAATTTAAAGAAAAATATAAAAAATTATGAATCGGATACTCATGACCCGAAAATACGGATATTTGAGTTTTACAAGTATTTGACTTACGAGCACCCAAATTTAATGGACCGGGACACGAGCTGACATTTTGGTACCCGAAAATACGTGTACCCGGTTTTGAACACCCCTAATAGTCATAGGTATTTCTTAACAAATGTGAACGACTTTACTCATTGCGATTAAAGAGTGATGCTATTCCGTCTCCTAAAAAATTCATTACCTTTGTTCAAAATCAATTTTCGGTCATAGTCCAAATTATTCGCAATGACAACGGAACTGAATTTTTCAACTCTGAGTGTTCTGAGTTTTTTTTCTTTACTTGAAATTATTCATCAAAGCTGCTACGTTCAAACTCATCAAAAAATGAAGTAGTTGAATATAAGCATCAATATACTCTAGAGGTGGCTAGAGCACTTCGTTTTCACTCAAAAGTTCCTCTTAAATTCTAGGAGGAAGGTATAAATACGGCTTGTTATATTATAAATCGTTCGTTTCGTCTTTGTTTTACATTTTAAGACTCCTTTTGAACTCCTTTATTCCAAAACCTCTAATCTGTCTCATTTACGAGTTTTTGGTTGCTTTGCTATGCCACCAAGTTAAATTACCATGACAAATTTTCACCTAAAGACATTTCTTCCATTTTCATGGGTTTTTCTTTGACTCAAAAAGGATATATCTTGTTTAACCTTGAATCTCAGCACTTTTTTGTAAGTCGTGATGTCATTTTTCATGAACTCATTTTTTTTTCATTTTAATTTCCAGTTTTAAAGTCTTCTCCTTTTTCCCTTCACATCATTCAATTCCTGACTCAATATTTTGTGCTTGATTCCTCGCCGTATACTTTTCATGTTAATTCTTCTCCCATTTTTTCACCATCTAATGTGTCACAAGATTGTCCTTCTGTTAACTTTTCACCGCCTGTTGATTTTCCTGTTGAATCATTTGATTTACCCTTTTCTACTACTGTACATTTTCTGATGTCTCAACCGTACCTGTTCTTGATGTCTCAACAAGTGCGTCTGATCCTACCATTCCAGTTCAAGTCTCTTCTGATCTATCTGATTTGGTCTTGTCTAAAAGGTCAATTCGTCTTACAAAACCCCCGAATTTGTTAAAAGACTATCTATGTACTTATCAATCCACTTCACCTTCTGCTCTTTACCCCATTTTGCAGTATATTTCTTATTCACATCTTCCTCCTCATACTCAACTTTTCTAAGCCTCCACCTCACATCTTGTTGATCCTACAATTATCAAGAAGCTTGTAAACAACCACAATGGGTCCAAGCCATGAGGGAGGAGATTCAAGCACTGGAATTAAATAATACTTGGGCTATTGTGCCTTTGCCCACTGGTAAAGTTCCAATAAGGTGTAAATGAATATATCAAATCAAGTATCATACTTTGGGTGAGGTCGAGCGGTTTAAGGCTCGTCTGGTAGTTAAGGGCTATAATCAATAAAAGGGCATGGACTATGTGGAGACATTTTCCCCTATTGCCAAGTTTACCACTGTTCGTTTGGTTTTAGCAATTGCTTCCATATTTGGCTGGCTTTTATGGCATATGGACGTTTAACGCTTTCTTGCAAGGGGACTTAGTAGAGGAAGTCTACATGCAGTTACCTGAGGGATTTTCCAGCTAGGGGGAGCGTATGGTATGTCGGCTGCAAAAGTCACTGTATGGACTTAGGCAAGCTTCAAGACAATGGAACAAGAAGCTTTCTGAAGCTCTTATATCAGCAGGATTTCAACAGAGTAAATATGATTACTCGATGTTCACAAAACGGACTGGAAGCAAGTTGGTTCTTGTTCTTGTGTACGTAGATAATTTACTAATTACAGGCATACTGACATGATTGAAGAACTCAAGGCTACACTTCATTCCAAATTTAAGATGAAGGATTTGGGTGAGTTGAGATATTTTCTTGGGTTTGAGATTTTGAGATTGAAAAAAGAAATTATCCTGAATCAGAGTAAATACGCTTTAGAACTAATAGAAGACATAGGGGCAGGAGGTGTAAGGTCTGCTTCGACACCCTTGAAGCAGAACAATAACATTTTTTTAACTAACACTTTGTGTCTAAAGCATGTTGAGGA